GGGGTGTGTGTGTGTGTGTGTGTGTGTGTGTGAAAAGCTGAGAGAAAGGTGGTGGTGGTGCAAAAACGGGCGTGCTGGCGTTGGGTGCTGATGGGTGGCTGAGCTGGGGGTTTAACATTTCTTTCGTGGTTTGGTAAATCTTGAAGGAATAGTATAAAAGAAAGGCAATCAGTCCCCAAAGAGGTGGGGGCCTCTGCCGTGGGTACGCCTTGCAGAGGCCGGGTGGATCTTGTGCCTGGGCCGAGAGGTCTGGAATGTGTTCCCAGCCCTCCAGCCTGGAGGAATTTTACGTTACATTTACATTAACTGCCCCTTAAAACCTCCCCGGCTCTGTAGGTCCCCCTTGGATCGTGTTTTCAACTCCCCTCTGGGTTCTGCCTGGCCCTTTGTCTGGGGAAGGGGAGGGAACAGGCCAAGCGTGGCCGGTTGGTTTGTTCCTGCAGCGTTTCACCGTGGGTGGGTGTACGGTGAATTAAGTATAAGAATTAAGAATAAGGCAAACAGACCAAAAATATAAACTGGAAGGAAATTCTCTGGGTAGAAAGCTAACAAAGAAATTGGGGAAAAAAGAAAAAGTGAGTAACTGGTGGTAGGGTGGAGTTGGACATGGGGTGCAGTTAAAATGCAAATTAAAAAATTCAAACCTATTCAAATACACAAATAGCCCTGGCCCTTATGAACATCAGCTCTTTGATTTACCGATGGGTCCTTAAAACTTAGTGAGTGTGGCTTCCGTGCCATTGTGCCTGGACTGGTCTCTCTTCTTGTTGATGAGATTATCTATTGTTTTTTCCTTCTTCTGACAGGCACGTGTCCGCCTCCGGAGAGGCTGGACTATGCAGAGCTGGAGAAGCCAGAGGTTTCAGGGACAACAGAGGGCTTTCCCATTGGAACCACGGTGTCCTACGTCTGCCGGCCGGGGTATATGAAAATCTTGGGAAAATCATCATCTCGGACATGTAGTGAAGACTTACAGTGGGTGCCCAAAGAGCAGTTCTGCACAGGTAATGTGTGTATGAGCTCTTTGGGTTTTTCCCTTTGATATTTAACCATTTTAGGTGTTTTCCAAGTGAGCGTTAGTATTCTATAATATTTTAAATGAAGCTTGAAAAATGCTAATAATGGTAAGAGAAGTATATGCCAAAGAATTATTGAAAAATGCTAATAATGGTAAGAGAAGTACATGCCAAAGATGCCTTTGTATATAACTACAAAGATGTAGATTTTTTTCTTTTCTTTTCTTTTCCCCTCCCTTTAGCGAAAAAGTGTAACCATCCAGAACAATTATTGCATGGTTCTGTTCATGTGACAAGTCTTGAATTTGGTTCAGAAGCTACTTTTTCTTGTGCAGAAGGGTAAGTATTTTGGTGAATGAATCCTCTTTTATGTTTTCTGTTTAAACCAAATTTGAAACAAACCTAAATGTTCTCAGGCAGGTTCTATTCCAGTTCTGACTTGAAATGTCTCCAGAGTTCTACCTGGAGCAAATGAAATTACAGTTAAACTTGATTCCCTGGTTTTACTTGCTGTTTGCATCAACCAAGGCCTAAGCTCTGTAGTGAGAATCTGCAGAGTGAAAACTAGAGTGTTACCTGTAATGACTTCTTTAATGCTCCTGTGGCAGAGAGAATAGATCTATATATTCTTCACCCTTCATTATTATGTTGAATAATGGCCCATCTGTCTGTGTATAGCCAATTAAGTCAAAAGCTCTAGCCTCTTACAAGGTTTTTTTCTCCCTTTTAACAGCTTATTGTTTTAGTCTTAGTAACTTTGAGCATTAGCATTAGAAGGGTACAAATCTTAAAATGACAGGACTTCCATAACTTCCTTTAGTGATATCTCATTTGCTTCTCTTTTGTTTTCAAAATTGAGACTGTTAATAAATAAATAAATAAAATTTCAGATGCCATTCTTATTACAACAAAAGCTTGGTGCGTCATGGCCCCATAATCACAAAACAGAATTGTATAAACAGATTTCTAGCTTCTTGTTGGAAAAATGGGAGATTCCTTAAGTTTCACCTCTCTAAAAATTTTTTCTCTGTCTAGATACAGATTAGTTGGACCTGATAGAATTTCCTGTGAAATTCGGGGTAATGGTGTTGGCTGGAGTAGAGATCTTCCTGTCTGTGAAGGTAAGTAAATTACTGCGATGTTTAAGTTTATACTCAGATAGTGGTAATTCATTTAAAAACAGCTGTGCCATAAACTTTCCAGTACAAGAAATGCTGGTAAATAGGATTTTTTTTAATGGTAATTCATTTAAAAACAGCTGTGCCATAAACTTTCCAGTACAAGAAATGCTGGTAAATAGGATTTTTTTAAATTTTTTTATTTTTTGAAGCTATTTGGCATGTGCCTGTGGGGTGATCACAGGAAAGTATCAGCTATTGTGGTAATAAGCTCATATTAGTTAAAGTCAACCTCTTCTTGAGGTTGAGACTCGCTGTAACAGTTGACCATTGGTAACTGTTAGTTATAACTGTAGCTTGTTTTAGAAATAGCTTCATAGAATCATAGAATTGTCTGGGTTGGAAGGAACCTTTAAGATCATCTAGTCCAACCATCAACCTAACTCTGATAAAAAAAAATAAAAAATCACTAAACCACGTCGGATTGAAATGAAATAACTTGAAAATCAAGGCTTGCTCTTTCTGAGGCGAACGAGTCAAATTCTGTCGATTTAATTTGTATGGTTTATTTCTAGCAATTGCTTGTAAACCACCTCCGAGCATCCCCCACGGGAGCTACACGGAAGCTGAAAACTACGTGTATCAGACGGCAGTGACCTACACCTGCGACCGGCCCCCCGCGGGCGACGAGCCCTTCTCACTCATTGGACCCCCTAGTATTTTCTGCACCTTTGATGAACACTTAAATGGAGTTTGGAGTGAAGCCCCTCCCCAGTGTAAAGGTTATCAGGACTTTTAATGTGCTTCTTTGTTAGAGCTCATCTGACTCCAAAAATCTGGTATCTGTCCCTTTTTTTAGAAGGGGGGCGGGGGGCGGTATAGACTTCCCTATAGAAAAGAACAAAGAAATCATCTGGTAATAAATTTGATATAGTTCCAGTGGAGATCAGATCTAACTGCACTGTGGGTATTGATTGATTATGACACAGAATATGTCTAAAATTTAAGTTAAAACTTTATATGTATGAGCATGCTGTTGGTAGAAGTGACAAGGACAAAGTGAAGGAACTGAGAGACCACAAAGCTTGGGTAGCTGAAGAAAAATTTGGTAAAGAGCAAGAATTTGGAAGCTAGATTAAGAATAGTGAAAAGGTAAGGAAGAACTCTTTTTCTAAACACAGCCACTATGCAAATGCAGAAATAAATGCAAAGCCCAGCAAGCACAAAGTCTTGCTTTGCAGACGTAGGGAGAAGGACCAGATACTCGTGTTGTTATTTGAACCCTACTCAATAGCACTTTGTTTTCAAAAGTTCTGCCGCCGTACAGGAGTATGGCTTCTGGAAGTGCAATGTGATTATATCAATTACTACCATTTCTTATTTGACCGTGTACCGTTACATCTCAATAGCTTAAGGCAAGGACCTTCTCCACCTTCAAGAGAATCACCTCTTTACAAAGCCCCTCCAAAACAGTTTGAGGAATTAGAAGAAGGAAATGTACAAGCAGTAAGAGGATGCTGGCTCTGTTGCACAGATACTGTTAACAAATATTTCTTAGTTGTTTTTCTTTTACCTATTTCAGTGGTCAAGTGCGATAACCCGAGAGTTGAAAATGCAAAAAAAATATTTGGATCTGGATTTTCCTATAGATATGGGGACTCAGTCACGTTTGAGTGTGATCCAGGCTATTTCATGACCGGATCGGAGACAATTACCTGTGGAGAAGATAACACCTGGTCTTCAAAACCAGTTTGTGAAAAAAGTAAGTCTTTAAATAAGAATCCAACTTCTCTTGTATGTTGAGAATGTTTTATATCTCTCTTAGCTAAAATTTAAAATCTTAACACAGTAGGTGGGCATCACGTGCTCTGGAAGTTCACCTGGAGCCTCATCTGTGGACAACTCTTTTAGGTGCTCAAGTGACTCTTAATTCCAAAGAGTTTTTGGATGAGAGTGAGCTGAGTTAGAGATGTGCATATATAGAAGTTGTGGCATGGACATATTGTGATGCTGCTGCATCCTAATAGCACCATGGTGGTCGTTCTTGTGATTTCATGTGGAAATACAGGAGAAAAGATGTGTTTCTGAATTCTGATGAAAGAGCTAGGAGTATGGTATGCAGTGTGAGGAAACTATAGTGTCTACGTTTTCCAAAAGAAATATTTATATTTTAAATTGTGGTAAAGTTAAACTATTCAGATATGCTGATCTATTTTTCTCATACAAGAGCAATGTCTATTTGTGGGGTGAGTTGATGAATTATGAAATATTTAAGGTTTGTTATCACTAAGCTTATTTTTAAATTCCCTTACCAGTTACTGCAGTTGCATGCAGTGCCCCAAAAATCAAAAATGGAGCAGTGGTTCAACAAAAGTCTGTATATCAAGAAGGAGAGTCTGTTCAGATACAATGCAATGCAAATTGTGCTTTTCCTGATGGTGCACGAAACATGACAGTAACTTGTCAAGGACACGATACGTGGAGTTCCTTACAACACTGTACATGTGAGTAAAACTTGGTAAAATGAAGGGCAGAGTGCCAGGTTGCCAGCTGTCTGACACAGTGATGTGCAGAGCCTGGCAGCCGGGCAGGGGGTGGGAGGATTGGGGGATCCTGG